GTCAAATAATTATTGCATTGGAGGTGGCTCGCCCTTTAGTGAGAGTGCTTCGACTGGTTGATGGTGATACGAAGCCCGCCATGGGCTACATATATGAGGCAATGACTAGGGCAAGAATTGAAATAAAAGATGTTTTAAAGGATGATGAAAATATGTGCAAGGCTATACTTGAAATTATTGATAGGAGATGGGATACCCAGCTTCAAAGGCACCTCCATTCAGCCGATTATTTTCTAAACCCATCTCTTCAATACAAGTACCCATCCATTGAGTCAAATCGTGTAATAAATGGTAGGTTCTTAGATGTGCTGGAAAGGTTGGTGCCAAACAGAGATATCCAAGATGAAATCCAGAGCCATGAATTGATGAAGTTCAAATTAGCCTTGAGAAACTTTGGGAGAGATATTGCCAGTTGAAATAGGGACACTACAGATCCAGGTAAAGGCCAAAAGCCCAAAATAATCTTACTTGTCTCTTACTTTATGCATAGTTCCATTATTTATTTTATACCCTTAATTTTTAACTATATTTTAAATTATAAAATATTATACAGCAGAATTTCACTCCACATAACACCGAATGTAAAAAAAAACAATAAAAGCCTAAATAAAGCTTACAATCTTTCCTTTTTCTGCCAAATAGAATAGACAATCCAAGACAGAAAAACACGCTTTGATTATAAATTTTAATGCAAATAATGTTCCTCGCAATTCAAACAAACAAACAAAAAATGACTAAAAAATAAAACCAAACAGCCTGTACGACTAAATTGAATTTGTCTAGCCCCTTATAACTTAGTACATCCCATATACCCGATTATCTGACCGATGATGCATTCTGATCTTATTAGCCCTACTGAATTTTGAGTCAAGAAGCTTTCTTGGGCAATACCTTTCAGAATTAAGATTTTAAGATCATAAACAAGGTCAGGATCCTAGGACGCCCTTCTTCTATACCTCTCTAGGGTTGAAAGGCACCCCGCTTGGTCTTATTGTGTGCTAAGCATGACCTCCTCTTTATAATCTTTGGCGGCATACCTGCCTAAGGTGGTGTGTGCCACCCTTTGGTGAATAGAGAGAGAGAGAGAGAGAGTGGGGCGTGTAAGATAGAAGAAAAAAGAAGAGAGAGAGAGAGAGAGAAAGAGAGCCTAAAATGTGGCGTTGAGAATAAGGGGGTCCCCTTCTTATATAGGCTGTAAGGGCCCCAAGTATGCATCAAAATAATGACTCATCATTCCAATAGGAGATGCCAATAGGAGAGGTAAGAGAGAATTAAATCTAAGTCATCCATGTCATGAATCAGCCATCATGATTTAGAGAGGAATCCAAGAACTTTATCCTCTGAATTTTTTACCCATATCCACTTTTAGTCAACCAAAGATGAGACCTATCTAACAAAACCCCTAAAACTTCCCTTATCTCTCACAAGATTGTAGGACGTCAAAAGATAAACGATATGGTAAAAGATAGAGAATATTTTTCAAAACAAAATATTCTTAACTTCCAAAAAATATGAACAGAAAATGTTTTCATAAGATTATTGATTACCCCACATTTCCTTCCATAGTGAAACAGCTTTTAAAATAATAAAAAAAGAGAGAGGGGGCGTGTTACCACATAGGTGTGAGGTCCCATGGGCTCCATTCCCCATACATGTGAGGATGGTACCCATGTGGGCTGGATCCAAAAGCCTGCACATGTCCTACCTGGCGCCTCTACAATCCAGTAATTTCTAAAATGCCCTTTTCAAAGATTTTATTGCCAAAATTAATTTAAAAACTCTAAAAAACATTTCTAAAATTCACAGAAACATTTATTACACTAAAAACAAGATATCTAGAAGTAGATTGATACCAATGGTCAAGATAAATAATCGTCAAAGCACTCCACCTGACCCAATAACTATGATCCTCGACGATTTTCTCAAACCAACCCAACGAGACCCATGATCCGTAGTATCATGCAAGGGCATATGATTTGCTCATCAAAACTAGCCAATAAATAGTGGAATCAAGGTATTGAAATAACAAGTTCCCCCTTAAGAGCAAGACACGCACATATCACTATAGTGCAAAGGGGTCTCTCTCTATACACATATATACGCCTTTTTCAGAGTTGCTTCTCGATAATACAATTGTTACTTGTACATATCATACAAAAGTTTGTTGGGTATTTAGCTTTTACTCTCGTTACTCTCACAAGCCTATATCCGTACACAGGAAACTACGAAGCTCTCCACGCCTACAAACCATCACAAGAATCTCTCCGACCTCAACAAATGATGACCCTATAAAAACCCTCTTCGATAGTACATATGTCTCAAGTAAGTTTTAGACATGAACAGAACCACAAAATCACCTAGGTCAGTCACCCAATACACATTCTCAATGAAGTGTATAATCTACTACATTTCTTAGTTACATGCTTTCACGTCCTTTAAAGGCTACAAAGCCCGACACTGATAAGTTATAACAATCAAAGAAATGTGCATTTGCAATTGTCAGTGAGACGGGTACTCGCATTTTAGAGCAAGAGAGGCTTGTCTTTGGACTTTTGATGGGGAATAAAGAAATTAAGGAGAGCGAGAGAGTCACTTCTCTTTGGACTTACAGAGAGAGAGAGTTTGTTCAAAGAAGCAAAGAACTTCGCACTTTACCAAAAATGGATATAACCTCGCCTTTCGAATCTGAGAGAGAGAGAGAGAGAGATGATAGAAAGAGATTCAGTCTACAACTCTAGACAGAGTGTTCACGTCTAGATAAAGAGAGAAGAGAATTCCAATCTAGAGAGAATTTTAGTATAAGATAGAGAGACTTTAGTCTGGATTATTAATTTGAGAAATGGGGCACTATTGGTTCCTGCTTTGCTAACCAGGGACACTGGTCTTTGGACCTTGATCACTCATGCCCCAAACATCTCTCTCTCTCCTCTCTCACTCTCACTCTCACTCTCACTCTCACTCTCACTCTCACTCTCACTCTCACTCTCATGGCCCCTGCCTCTCTCTCCCCACAAGCCATGGCCCTACCTCTCTCTTCCCTACCCCCATGCCATGTCCCTACCTCTCTCTTTCTCATGCCCAAACCCTCTCTCTTTGTCTTTGCCACAGCCCTTCTCTCTCCCAAAAACATTTAGCTTCCTTTGTTCTTCCCAACAACATTTAAATAGATGCCCCTTCTATGGCTTCGGCTTTTAGGTGGGATTGAGATATTTTTTGCTCCTCCATAACGTTTCTTGCTTTGAAGGGAGAAAGAAAAATGTTATTCTCAAACACCCTAATAATGTACAAAGTCCACCATTGACCTGACGGCAAGAACAAACAAAAGGAACGGCTCCCAACCAATAATGTTGCAGGAAAAGAATGAGAGAGAAAGAAGGGTAAAGTAAAATGAGAGAGAAAGAAGGGTAAAGTAATAGAATAGAGAGAAAGCAAGGAGAGACAGAGATGGGGGCCGGGCCAGGAGAGAGAGAGAGGAAGGGATAGCACGGAGAAGGACAGGTGGGGCACAACCGAGAAAGAGAAGCATAAGAAGAGGCTCAGTAGAGGACGAGGCGCCATGGGAAGCATACCAAACGCTTAGGTGATGAAGCTCCCCTTGCCCCCAGTTGGCCATTCCTAACCATGGTCAAGCTTGCAAAGAACCTCATGGGCAACCACTCTCCTCTCCATCACCATGCTTACACCCCATGACCACTCCTTCAATACCACCATTAGAGAGAGAGAAAGGTCAGGGCTTTGGGGAGCAAGATACAGCGAGGAAGGGCCCCACCATTGAGAGAGAGATAGGGGAGAGATAAAACACGGGGAAGTGTATTGGTAGAAAAGGGATGGGCTCATGTGGTATAGCTAGCCCAATTTGTTGATGTCATGTTTTGTATAGGAAGGTGAGCAAATGAAGGAGGAAAGGGGTTAAGGGTGTGCTGAAATGCTTTGGGTTAGTTTAGTGCCCCTTGAAGTCAGAAGATTGAATGGGTTTTCTTTTTTTTTTTCCCTGGGGGGTAGGGTAGGGGTAACAAGAAATATGTGGGAAAATTGGGGGCTGACATGATGTTTTCTGTTCTTTTTAAACCAAACTAGCTCCCAAAAGCCTGAGATTTCTCTCTCTTTTTTAATCTAAAAAGTCACGTGAATGAGCCATATAAGGTCCCATGCACCTCTATTCAAATTTTAATTGAGGAACCAAATCCAAAATAACCTCAGCCAAAAACAAAAATTGACTATACATAAGGACATTTTAGGTATGTTAAAACAAATGATTCCATGAGCACTCTTAAGAATTTTTCTAAACATGTCCTAAAATCTTAAAATATAGAAAAACTCTGGAATCCTAAAAAAAATCTTAAAAACCCTATAAATAAATCCTAAAATTAAAACTAACATATGCATCCTTGAAAAAAATTTAAAATAAGAATAATTTTATCCGGGATCATTTAAGGATCTCAATCCCATCCTTTTGGGGATTTTGGTTCCAACCTCAAAGAGCATCTAGTCAAAGACAATATATACTCTTGAAGGTAGGAATCCTTTTATTTATAACAAGCAAGTAATGCAACTATATTAAAAATATATAATAAAAAAAATCATCAATTTAAATGTTATCTTGGTCTTTAAAATGGGGGTCGAGATCCTATATTTGGGGATCAAGATCCCATCATTTTAAAATCGAGATCCCTTGAAGATCAATTTTTTAGAGGCTAGATTGAAATTCTGGAGTGGGATGGCCACCTACTTTGGGAGATCCCAACAACCATGCGGCAAAAGCATCAAGCTAATCAAAGACAACTTTATTATCAGTCCTAGATTTATAGAAATATTAAATTGGTCAGAAAGAATTTGGTGTTGCTAAAGTTCTATAATATAAAAGTAAAATCTAAAGCTTTTCAACAGGTCACCATAATTTATTGATGAAGTGCACAAAATGGCAACTACTAGATGCAAAGAAAAGAAAGCCACACAAAATGATCACCTAAAACATGCAGATGTCAATTGATGAGGCATACCTGTTAGAAAGGCAACTCCAACAGTTTTCATCTAGAACATTTCCATGCCGGACAGAAAACTCAACCATACTAGAAGTAAGGCGCTCTAAATTCGTTATCGAAAAGGGAAGAAGAATGCCTCCATTTTCCACAATCAGATTTTCACGTGTTACATTGAGAGTATTCATATCTTCAACCACTAACTCAAATGCAATATTCTGAAAAGTTTAGAAGCTCATCAACTCTCCCACCATTAGCAGAAGTTAACTATCAGAATAGATATTAACATTGAAATTAAATAAGCAAGCATAAAAACATCGATATCCATGAAGTTGTTTTTCAAATTTGCAGTACCATCACACCATGTTGAAGAGAAAATTAACAAAAATGGACCCCGGATAAAACAAGAATATCCACTGAGATTATAACAAAATGAGCAAATGAAAATGTTAATTAGAAACTGATTGCTACAAGTCATCGGAGGCATCTCTGGTTAAAAGTCAGCAGATGTATCCTGGGTTGTTCAATGTGCGTTTTTGCCTACTTAAAGGTTTTTTTCCAGGTATCTTTTTTTTTTTTTTTTTTTTAAAGTCTAATATATCCATGATTCATGACTCTGTGGTCACTTTTAGAGCACCAGATCCTCCCCTTCTATGCTCATCGGTGCCAAGGCACAGCACAATAAAAGCTAGTAGAGTGTCTGTGGTTGCAGAGTATTTCTGCTGATTCATGCACAACATTTTGCATGGCTGCAGCTCCAATAAGCATGCAGCGCACCCTCGACGTAATGAGCACTACTATTTCTATGATCCATATTGACCTTGACATAGCTAGCAGCAGCACACACAATCCTAGCATCCAAATGGCTTACAAGGACATGGAAGTGAAGAAGGATGGACAATGGAGGCGAAATAAATGTACTGTGGACTTGCTATGTAACCACAGTTAGAGCAATAAACATATGATGCATATGCCTCTCCTTGAGAGAAGGGTGCCCAATGTTCAGAGCAATGACTAAAAACTTAAATATGCAAGATCCTTTTCAAACAATAAATGCAGCTGCTGTTCTCTGAGGGAAACAGTACCATAGTTGTCACAAGAACTAACACACAGTAGGGATAATTGAGCAATTCCCTGAAAAAATTTAGATCAGGCATTCCTTGAATGTTATAATTGTATTAGATGATCAATATCTGAAATGGAAAGGTCCAGCTGAGAATTATTATACTCAGCCCATTATCCATTTTAATGTGTCAATTTTCACTAGCGAATTGAGTTGGTGGGATAAGTCACACTTTAAGACAAAATGAAGCAAATTTCAACCTTGCCAACTTATCCAATAATCATATCACTAACTGCCACAAAAAAAAAAACCTCACTTAAAAACTCATTTTTATATTCAAAATACCTGACAATGAAGAACTACAACCCAACAAACTCAAAAGGGCCATGAGTAAATTTTGGAAAAACAATCTAAAGGGAATAACAACTAAGGGAACAGCATTCCATCATGGCAATAATTACCCTGATTACAGGAGATAAAACCCAAAAGTTTCCTACAAGTGAACATAATCAAATATTCTCAATTTATAAGCATGTAAACTACTATGTGTGCCCATACAAGTATAATAAAATGAGATATTAATAAAATGAAACTCACTTACAGGCATCTTTAACAGAAATATCTGCAAAAACCAAGACAGAAAAAACCAAAATTAAAATGAAAGCACTCCAAATTTCTCAAGAAAAAAGGTATATGATGCTCCTAAACTAATGTCAGGCTTTGGTGCATAACCCAATTTCTTTAGAGAATGAAAAATATTAAAAATGTGATGAGACCTTAATGGAATAAAAGAGAAAAACCTTTTCGCAGAGGTGGGAGATAAACGTCACACAGTCACTAATACTTTCTTGAGTGGATAGAGAAACTTCTGTTCCACTGAAATTAACCATATTAAGGATTAGACATTGCTTCATCTGAAAGTTAGCTTTGAGTATCAACAAGAACTATCCTTTCTCCCTGCCAGGAGAAGAGGGCATAATTTGGCGTAAGACATGCCTGAACTCTCCCCCATATTTGGGAGTTGAAGCCAATTGAATTAGCCTGCTCCTAGGAAGAACATCAGCTAATCTCAACTGATAATGATGGATTTCTTTGTCCTGAGTGCCTGCATCTTTCAATTGGGGCCAGCAAGAAAATCAGGAAAGTAGAATAACAAACATCCTTTATCTTTACAGTTAGCAGATTGCTCAACATTAACTAAGATATGCAGCCGTCGTTCTTTTTAGTCCACATGGTGGTGCTTATGAAGTTTACTCAAGCATGGGACGACAACAAAAGAGGCTCCAAAATAATTAAGAAACAATAGAAAATGTGAAAATGTATATTAAAATGCTGGAAAGCTATCAAGCTTCCCTTGATAGTAAGTAAAAATGATTCTCCTTTTTTTTCCTATTTTTTAGTAGTTGACACTAGGTTAATACTTAAAGTATATAATTCACTAGGCCTAAGAGAAATCAAACCACAAAAGCATAAAGCACATAATTCACTAGTACTGGGAGAAATCAAACCACAAAAGCATCAATCACAAACTCACTGCAAGGTAAAGAAAACATCAATCAAGCTCTCAGAATGCAGTAGTCAGAAGGATAGGATGGAACACATATCATACGTACATAAAAAGCCAAGACTATAATAATTATATGATTTTTTATTTTTGGAGAATGTTAACATAATAATTATTCGATTGCTTAGAAATGAAGAACAAGCTAAATATTTACCCAATTTAGTACCTTTTTCTTATTGTCATTTATTAACATATAGACAAAACCATACAAAAAAAGGAAGAATGACTCAATTAAATGAGTCAATAGTGACTTACTTATTTTATATATATATATATATATCATGAATCTGGTTCTTTTATAGTAACCAGATGATAAAATGATGTTTTGCAGTTATTCTTGATAGTTCATTCCCAATTAATCACTGATTTTGGGAAATTTTTTGTTGTTATAATCTCCAAAACACCATAGTAGCAAAATGTTTCAAAAGAATTAAAACTTTCAGGAAAACAAAAATAATAGTTGAGAAATGTTTTTGCTTTCTTTAGGCAAAAATTACTAATCTATCCTTTTCTTCCAGAAAAGTAACAGGTATGACACAAAAAAAATAGATCAGGAGCAGTGATGCACTCATTTATATAACCATATGGTGCAATTTATACATAGATAACAAATTATATGTCATGAGTTTTATGTGAATATTACAGGTAGTTGCACGGGATTATATTCTAGCATTATTATGAGGAACCATTAAATTGGAACATGACCTAAAGACATCAATTTGCTAACAGCACAAGCAAAACATGCATACCATATCTACATTATGAAATGACTCAATTATTCAAATATGATAAACTTTAAATAAGGAGTCACTTCTTCCAGTTTTTGGTTTTTATTGCTCCATTTTGTTGTTTCTCATTGTGATGTAACATGAAAAGGAAATGCCAATCACCACGAAGGAAATTAAGAGAGGATGGATGAGAAAATCTTATTCCTTTTAGGAAAATAAAGTAAGAAAAACCTGAAATCCGCCTAAAAGCACTAATCTTGTGAGCATAAATTCCATTGTCTAATTGATTCTGACCCATTTTCCTATTTCAAAGCAATGGTTTGACCTATCAGCTGCTGCAAAACAATGGCTCTCCATTGACTTATGGGTAGCATTAAATGAGCATAAGAATTTCATTATGTCACTGAATTAGCAGTTCAAATTAAAATTTTACATGGCATTTCAGCCATATCATATGTAATTGATAAAAGATTCAACCGCTTAAAACATAAACATAAAACAGAAGGAAATGGTTTAACTATTTCTGACTAAGTTAATATATTTCAAAAATTCTCAACTTCATTTGAAAGATACAGTGAGCCATTCAGCTAAATGATTTAATGCTAATATGAGCTTCATACATTGTAGCATTAAGGTCATATCCAATGATATCCTGTCAAATATCTGATAAAGAACGCACCTGTGGTTGTGATTGAAAGTACTTTATCTGCATTAAAGAAGTCACGTGCCATGTTTCATAGCTCATTTCAGTGCCATAGAATCAAACCTAAAGAAACATAATATTTCTTGACATGTCAATCCATTCCTTACCACATTTTTCAGTTCCAACTTCACAAGATTGTTCGGTATTGTCAGAAAAATGATGTTCTAAATCCTGAAATTCACACAAGCTGCTTCCAACACCTGTATCTGAAACTGAATAAAATAAAGACAAAATGGTTCCATCAAATGAACATAAATGTTAAGAACCAAGCCTGGACTCCAAATATCATGATAAATTTTGGTATACAATTATAGGGAAAGAAATTTCAAAATGAGTTCGGGCATCAAATATAAGCAGAAATCAAGGTAAACAGGACTCAGATCAAGAATTGCTAGGATCCCCAGCCTAAGTCACCCTATTAGACTCAAGTGAGTCTAAACAAGATATAGCTGATTTTATTTAAAAAAAAGCACATAGGCACCCGAAATGGTGAGACTAGGGGAAGTCCCGCAACTTATCAACAAGACCCCATAGCCCGCCATGTCTGAGTGACTCTGGTGAGTCTTAATCAGACATTTAGAGTTTTAAAGCATTGCTGCCACTGCATAAGACCCAATTAAACTTTTGTCCAGACTATCTAATGATTAAACAAAATGAGTCTTATGCCCTTGTATAATATGAAATTTAAATTAATAAAGAAAGACTGAATAGAAGAGATTGATGAAAATTTTAGGTACAATCTCAAGGGCGACTTGCTGGAATGTTTAGGCCCAAACATATTACTTTCACAACCCAAATCATGCAACCGAGTCACCAATTACGCATAGTAGGACTTACTCTAGGGTATGGTTGAGTTAAAACTAATTGTGTTTAAGCAACAAGTGTATTCAATAAGAAATAAATCATGTCTATATTTTTTTTTAGAGATATAATAAATCATGTGCATATTTACAAAAAATTTCCAAGCAAGCAAACTAAATTGCTTCATACACAAAATCAGAATGCATACATTCTTGGAATTCATGCCATAAAAAATAGAAATTCAACATGCATATCTTTTGGTGAAAAATCAAAACATGTAGAGCATTCTACCCTATTCTTGATTCTTTCTCAAATTCCAGGCTACATCCCTCAGTTCATAAATGCATAGAAAGTAAAATTTGTAGGAAATAGAAAACCTTTAAAAATAAATTAGGAAAATATCAATTAAGGGGCCAAATCCCCTCACAAAATCCCTAAAGGGGTCACATGATCACAAATTACATTTTAGGGTTTTTTTAAAAAATTTCTATTTCAATCAGGTACATCTTAAAAAAGCCTTAAAAAATTCCTAAATTGCCCCTATTCTATGTTGGAAAGCTCGAACTGTTAGGAGCACTTTGGTAATTTAACCCGAAGGGCCTTAATCAAATGACAAAAATACCCTTGCTTGTTTAGAAATAGAAATACCTAACTTCTTCAGTACTTGAAATGAGGAACAATAACTTGTATTTGCCTTGCCTATGTCAAATGACACCATACCCTTTATTGTTCCTCATTTCAAATGCTTGACAAGTTTTGTATTTTAGCAGCTCATCACCATCCATGCTTCTTTCTCCCTTCTTTTTCTCTCACCTTTCTTCTTTCTCTCTCTTCTCTTATTTCTTCTTTCTTCTATCTTCTTCCTCCCTTTTCTCTCTTCTCTTTTCTCTCTCTTCTCTCTCTTCCCTCTTTACTTTCTTTTCTTTCTCCTTTTCTCTCTTACAAGTGGTGGTATTTCTGTCATTTTATAAATACCTAGGATTAAACTACCAACATGCCCCTTACTGTTCGGGCTTCTCAACACCAAACAATGAATCTGATATGAGAACGTTTAAGGATTTTTACCTGATTGAAACAGAAATTCAAAAGTAAACCCTCAAATGTAATTTGCAATCATTTGACCCTTTAGTGATTTTCTCGAAATAAATTAATTCTGGCAGATATCACCAAAGAACTACCGAAAACCTGAAAAATCTTCATTCAATAAAATATACCATTGAACATAAAAAGTTACCAGCTGCATCTCTAAGATTTCGAAAATCACGATAAACTTGTTAAAATCATTGTAGTTTTAACTAAGGCATTTTCACACTTCCATATAGCTACGAATCATTTTTAGGAATAACCATGTGCACTCTATGAATGAAAATAAAGCAGTATTTTGCCCGTTTCCTCTTGTTCAAATTAGGATGTGAATGATATGAATTAAATACCTATGAAAGAAAGAATTGCATATCCATAATATTAGTTATTATATTCTTTAATAAAAGGTATCCAAAAAGGATCTTTTGATTTTGAAATTTATTATTTAGTGAAATCTAGGTCAAAGATGAGTAGGTCACAAGATGAGCTAAACCTCTACGCCATAAAAAAAACTATTATGCCATTTTTGAAGAAGAAATGACCAAAATACCCAAAAATGAATGAGGCATATCTTGGAGATGAAAAAAGATGGATGAAATTTTCATTTTAGTAGAAGAAGTGATTATCCACTTCTCCGATTCTAATAGGGAAGCAAAAAATAAGACTGCATCACCATTTTTATTAATTGTTTTGAGTCCCACTGGAATATTCTAGTTCCAAACACATTTTGTAACTAATTCCTTAAAGAGGGGGAGAGAATCAAGAAGGGTATCAATAATTTTAGAGATAGTGAATACCTACCTAACGTACTTTCAGGTCTAAAATATTCCCTAAATTCGTAGTTTTTGGTCCCCAAAATTCGACAACTTTTATGTTGATCTATTTATCACAATTGATC